ATGAAGTATTTTCTTTTTTTCTGTTCGGTTTGGTCATTCTGATTCCTTTCCTGGAAAAGTCGGTACATGATCAGATAATTAGAAAAAAAATCATTCAGTTTTTTTTACAGTCTCCATTCCTTCCATCTTTTTTATAAATCTGTACTTTTAGCAATATGCAATCTTTACCCAAGCATTTTTTTTCATTCCTTTTGTCATCAAGTTTTTTTTTTCCATTCCTTTTGTCATCTAATGGCCAGCACTTTCCTAACCAGTTTTCTGCTTCAAATATATTAGAGTTGTGTTTCCCTTAATGATTTTTGCTGTATACATTAACTTCTTCGTCTGTATTGGACAATCCTGGCAGTTTGCCATGTTCATATATGCAAAATCTAATAGCATTATAATCAGTGTTTCCACAACACATACCTGGTCCGTTTCCTTTCTAGGATGAGTTCTAGGTTGATTTCCTTTTCAGTCATCCCAAGATTACTGTCAGTGTTTTGAACAGGTGATCAACAACATATTCCTAGATTTAATTTACCTTTGTGTCCAATATTGCTATTTATAGTGATTCTGTGGGATAACCCAACTTTCCATTTTCCAAATATCCCAAGTACAAAATGATGCAGGTTCATAATCCAAGGAATAAACCCAGCATGCTTGTTTTTCTGGTGGCCAAAAGCTTGTTCTACCAAGTAACCTATCTGCTACTCCCAATAGGTGGGTAATCCTACTCTTGACACGGCACAACTCCTCTTCCTAGCTTCTTCTTTCATTAGTTATTATTATAATATTTTTCTTCATTGGGAATTATTTGACCAAAAAAGATAGCCTCTCTATTGTAGTTTTATAAAGTTTGGGACCTGTCTGTATCACAGTCACTGAACTCACCTTAACAGTCTCTGGAGAGGACACCTCAGTGGCCTCCTTTCCTCCTTTTCTTTCTTTGCAAGCCTCTTCTTGCTTGTCCTGATTGCAGACTTGTCTTTCTGTTTCTGAAATGTGCTTTCTGGGACTGAGTTGTTAACCGAGGAATATGATTCTGTGCACCAGCTAATTCATTTAAAAAGTGAATTGGCCTCAGATATAAACCCCTCCTGCCAGACCACGTGTTTCACAAAGAAAGCAAACATTTCTACCCTCTGGCCAGAACCAAACATACAGCTACATTATTCAAACACTCTTTAAAGCAGCCGATCAGCTGTTAGAACTCACAGTCTTTCTTCAGAAATAAATGAAGGCTTTGAATCACTTTTTTCTCAACCCACCGACCTTACATATTGACATTCCAAAAGAAGGGGGCGGGGGGAATCAGAGTTTAGTTTTATTTTTTGAAATCAATTCCTCGCTTGACTGGTTAAAGGAGATTCTTGCTCATTGCAGATGATTAGGCGGCTGGCTGATTAAATAGGATTCAATGACTATGGTCCAAAGAGGCGTCTTCTCTCTCTCACCAAAGATTAGGGAAACATTGCTAGACTATCAGTTGCTGTTTGTTCTTTTGCTTGCTCCCCCCCCCCCCCCCCCCCAATTCCTGACAAATTTTCCACATATTTCTGAGGGAGGATAGTACAGAAATGTGTTCTGAATGTATTATGTTCCCCCATGGGATCGTTCAAATCAGGAAGTGTTTTTGGATGGTGAATGAAAAAGTAATCCTAAATGGATGGGAAAGATGTGTGTGCTTTCCTGAATGCACCTTAGAACAAGAACCAGCTGTAGCCCAGGTGCCTGTGCTTCTGACTTGCATAAGCCATATTGCTTTTCATCTCCAGGCAACAAGCATTATTGTTCTTTTTTAAAAGCGCTTGGTGGACAAAGAGCAGCTGTCTTCTGATAACTGAATTAGCTGGACTTTGACAGGCAGCTGCAAGTGTCAGTTGGCTTTATCTCTGTAAGCTACTGCTGTCTTCCGTATTGCCTTGTCAGCAGTTGAAGCTGTTTGAACTCACAGAGAGAGCGTTGATAGGTGGAACAATAAGCCTGGTCTATAAGTAAACATGATCAGTGTCTGTCGTTCTCTTTGTGCTAATGGGCTGTATGAAGCATCAGAAAATGTGTTGGCAACCAGAATGCTTGCAGATAATGATTACACTCATTTATAATAACATGATTTCTATTATAGTCCAGTTCTTCTGTTATGAATAACATGATAAATTTATGTTGAAATTTATGGAAGACTTGCAATGAGGAATGAGATTTCCTTTTTCCATTCTTCCTCTCCACATACATGTTTCCTTCCTGCTCCCATACTTCTTTGCGTATATATATGCGATTGTAATATTCCACACATTCACACAATTCCTATATATGCATATATTCTTTTTCTTATAGTTGCTTGCACAGCCCAAGCATACATGAAGCACTTTCTCTCATCCCACACAACCTACTTATGATCCATCCAGATCTGCCCATAATTTCTACCAAATCACAACACCAGAGAATCTAGACCGATGTGCATCCCAAGAATTTTAGTGTTTTTCCTCGCCTGACTATTCTTTTGCAATTCTTGGGAAGATCTGACTGCATAGAACTCTTAGTTTCAATCATTATTGATACTGGTTTGGGAAAGATAACGTGGACATAAAGCTGTCTAGGGTGGCTTTATAAATTTGATTCATAAATAAAATAAATACAATCAGATAAAGTATCTCCTTTCTCTCCCTCCACTTTTTTTGTCAGACCTTCACTGACCCTAACTTTTAGAGTCTGTGTGTGGCTATTATCAGTTAATATTGATTCATCTTGGCTTTCTGTATTACATATTGCACATACTATTCTTGATCTGTTTTTTGTGGACTAGATCTTTTAAAATAATAAAAAAGGATCTACAGGTATTCATTCCTTATTCTCCAATATTTTACCTACTTGATCTGAAATCAAATTAATTTACTGATTCCTGAAGTATAATAGTAATTGATTTCTGTATGAAGAAATCTGCTTACAGCATTGCCATTAAACTGGTGAGGGAATTGCATTTTATTATCAGATTAAATATATCCATTCATGTAAGTTTTTAATGACTTAGGAAGAGTGAGATTGTTTCACATTTATATTTCAAATCAAATAAGCTATTCTATAACCTCAGTGGCTATCATTATATTCAGTGATTTGCTTGAACTATGTGTTTGTTTGGGCTACAGTATATTTTTCCTCTTGAATATTTCTGAAGCAAAACTGATCTTAGTCAATTAGGAAACAAGTTGGATGTAATGATTCAAAGAACTTTATACTTAATGAGCTACCTTGCAAGGGTATTCTGGTATCCTCATTTGTTAAAGGAATACTGAGTCCTAGGGATTGTACCTTCTCCTCAAAAAGGGCACCCTACATCAACTAGAAAATGAACATCTGCAAAGTGCTGGTTTCTTCCTTGTTATCCTTGAGGGGTGGGGGTACACTTTTCCTAGGACTACAGAAGGCCTAGGCTTTCCTAGGACTTTCCTAGGCCTTTTGCAATTTCTGATTTGGAGATATGCTAAAAACAATAACCTTGCATTAGATCCTAACAAATCTTCCACTCTGTTTGACTATTATCATAATAAATTTCCCAGTTTTACCGGTTATTATTCCCTGAATATACTGAATGATATATCCTATAAAGAAATTCTTTTGGGAAATTTGGGATACAAAACATCATAAGAAAAACCAAACATAATCCAGTTTGGGAAATAAAACATATGTATAGAATATCCTAAGTACAGTATTTGTTGAGAGTTAGCATAGAAGATAGCTTTGTGCAGAAGATGATGATCCAGGATGATTTCAGGTTCACAAGTTTTACAGTTTACATCAGAATGATAACCCTGTTCAGGTAGACCAAACCAACTTTTTCTTAACAGGGTGGCACTTGTATGTCATCTATAGCAGGCCCAAGGGCAGTTTTGATTCAAAAAGAACAATGTGTTTAAGACAATGGAACTTTGAAATGAATGAATTTTCAATTAATACTCAAACTGCTAGTTGAAAACTATATGGGAAGAATTATCTTTGTTCTGTAAAGGAAAAAAAAATCACTTTTAACAGTACATTCCTGTAGAAATTGTGTGTAACTGTAAGAATCAAAACATGTATTTATGACTTTTAAGTAATCTTTCCCAGGCATAATTATAATTTCTTAGTTTTCAAATTCTAAGCATCCACTGATAAAGCATACAAATAATTCAACTTATGGCCTTCTTGTTCTTTTTTACCCCTTTTACTTTTTCTTTCTTTCTGTGTAATCTCATTTCAAGACAAATCAGTTAAATTGTTATGATCTAACACTTACCACCTTGATACATTACTTTAACCCCTTCACCCACCTAAATTTATTTATGAAGTAGGTAGTGGTGAACCAACAGAAACTGAAGCTCAAATACTTTGGCCACCAAATGAGAAGAGAGGATTCACTGGGGAAAAAAACCCTGATGTTGGGAAAGATTGAAGGCAAAAGAAGAAAGGGGGTGGCAGAGGATGATATAGTTAAATAATGTGGGCATGCGTTTGGAGAGACTTTGGGAGACAATGGAGGATGTGGGGGCTGGCATGATATGGTCCATGTGGTCACAAAAACACAACTTAGTGATGAACAACAACAAAAAATGGTGACTCAAATGCTTCATGGGATGGAAAAGCTAAAAGATTCCTTTATTCTGTAAAATAATCTTGATGAAGTAGGATATAGTTTTTATGAAGATCTTAAGTTTCAAAAGATCCCATATGCTGTACCATAAATATGAACATTATGTGTAATTTTATGTAACTGTAGCTCGTCTGTGTGACGCAGGGAATTGGAATCACATGTGTTTGTGGTTTTCTATTTTTTTTTAAAGGTAAAAAACTACTCCATAATCTGTTAGGGTTATTAATAGAAACAAGAACATGCACTCTTGGATGGGTTTTTGTACCTGTTTTGCTATTTATTAAATGGGATCCGCATATATCTATTGGGTGTGGGAGATATGATAAATTACTAAGATTATACTTTTAAAATTCATTGTTGATTAATGCTGGTTTTGGTTTTTTCCCCATTTTAGGGAGTACGAGTTTGGTTGCGAGAAAATGGCCAACATAATCCAAGCACTGTACTTTCCTGTGCAGAAGGAGTTGTTGTATTCAGGACTGATTATGGACAGGTAAATGCATTGCTTCTAAATATGTTTTGTTTGTACTATCCATATCCTGGTAAGTGAATGAATTGTTATGAACTCTTATAGTTTTTTTCTGTTCATAGGCCAGTTTTGAGACCAGTTATTTCTTATTTACAATAATTCCCCTGAGGTAACTGTTATTATTCTTTATAAATAGAAAGGCATCAAGAAACCCTGAGAGGTTTTAGGAAAGTCTTCTAAGTTTGTATAATCTTTCTAGATTTCCTTCCCTCTCTTCAGCTTTTATCACACCCAGTGCAGAGAAATGACCAACCTCTCCCGAATCATCTCAATGTATGTCAATCACTACACTGGAAATGTCATCTGTCTTTTAAAACAACTAAATGTGCTTATTATACAGTACTTTTAAGAGTGTATGCTTATTCAGAGAAAAAGAAGTGAAAGTTAATCACTTTCACTGTAAATGGCAGTCAAAGTGATAGTAAGATTTTATAGCTTATCTTACAATGTAAAATTATAGAATTGGAAAGGACCATTACATCAATATAGGAATCCAAGTTTAACCATCTCCAACAGATGGCTGATTGGCCTCCACTGGAACTCTTCCAATGAATGGGAGCAGACTTCTCTTCTTCATAATTCGTTCCACTGTCAAACTATTCTAACTATTTGGAAGTTTTTCCTAACATGCAATCAAAACGTTGCATGGAACTTAAGACCATTGTTCTGTGTCTGACAATATTGCCTTGAAAATATTATCTCTCTTTTTCTGAAACATGCATAGAGTCACAAAAGAATAGCACTTTTTTTTTCTTGGCTGATTATGATTGTTTCTGTGAATAATGTTAAAAGGGTTTTCCTTTTTAAAAGATTAAACATCCTACACACAAAAGAATCACATGATATATTTCTATTTTTGTTGGTTTTTACACTAACAGAAGGGGATAAAAATAAATTTTTATTTTAAATCTAACAAGACCGGAACACAAAGGAAAACAGAAATGCAATGAGCAATAGTTTGAAGGGGGCGTGGGGGTGTCCAGTGGATGACTGCAAGCTGATTAGCCTCTATAACATCAAACAAAAGAATGTTTAATTAGAGCACTAGTGGACGAGAGCTTGGCTGTGGGGGTCATGTTGCCTGGCTTCAGTTCTCAATGCTCTAAATAGAAGCAGCTGAGGTTTAATATCTAAAAAATGTAAAATGTGTGCATTTCCCAGTCAAAACCACAGATGGTAAGTATCATGGACCTTGACATTCAAAAATCTTCCCTGAATTTGCTTAACAAAGAAATCATTCATGGAATGGCATTAGGCTAGAAAATAACATGATCCAGTATCCTCTGCTTTAAATAATAATACCTGTAAAAATCTTCTCCATCTTTCGTCCCTTCCCAGCTCCCATTTCTTTTTCTGATTTTTGAAAGAGGCTTTTTCCTTTCCTTCTTGGGAACTTAATTTAAAAATACTTCAGCAGAAACTGAGTGATGTGGTTAGCTTCAAATATATTCCTGTCTACAGGGATTACGCTTTATTTTCTCATTCTCTTTGGGAGTATGTGGGAGGTGACGAGCAAGAAGTAATGGAAGTTTATGACTATCATAGGGTCTTGAGAATCCAGCCTGCATGCCTTAAGAATTCATTTTAGATGGATCTTTAAAGCAGATGGCAGCAATAGACAGCTAGGAGACCTTGAACTCTTTTGAAGTAGGAGAATTTGAAGCTACTATGTTGAAATGTGTAGGCGGTCACCTTCAAACTAATGTTTGTGGTTCACCTCCCTTTTTGCTTTTCTGTTTAAATCAAATTCTGTAGTTTATGCTCCTCTTTCGGATTGCCAGTACAAGGAAAAGGGAAAACCATGGAGGGAATACTCTTTTAGAGAGGATTTGGGACTGAAAATATGCCTGAGTATTTCACACTATTTGTTCAGGATTGTTCACTGAGAAAGCTAGTTGCTGACCAGACTTTTGAGTCCTTATTTACTAAAAGCTGATTTGGTACAGATCACACATTCTGTGCAGAGTGTTGAATGTAACAGGATTTCCACTTGCTTATGAACTAATCTAACTCAGGCTTACCAGCCCATACTGGGTTTTACTAAAACCAACAACCCAACCTTAATAGTGTACTAAATCCTGTTCAACCCATTTTAGCTGCCAAAAGTCACCTCCAGTATTCTCCTTTCTGGGTTTAAAATGGCTGCATGGCAACTAATACTAAGGATATCTGACTTATAGCCTCTCCTTTCCTATGGACATTGGGTTCTAAGAGAACCTAAACAATATTCTATTTACAGATCATTATCAGCAAAGTTTAGCACCGAATTAGTCCAGTTTGCTTTGGTGTCTGCATGAATATAGGAAGAGCCAACAAGAAGCCATGGCTGAAAATAGGTGCATCACAATAAACAAAAGTGCTCCCTTAGAACTGGTGATAAGATTTGAGCCTCATCTCGAGAATTCCGGTTTGCAGGGCTTCGGTGGTAGGCAGGAATCCGTGATCGTGCGTGGTTTCTGCCTGGGCTCACCGCTGGAGCGCCCCGAGCCAACTGGCTTCGGGGCTAAGCCACCCCGTGGTGGTGGTGAAGACGGGGAGACCCAGCAGGGTCGAGGGGAGCCACATCTCTCCTCCTCAGCTGGCTAAACTCCCTTTCCCAAAGGCGGTAAGAGCGGCGGTCAGAAATGGCCACCTCAAAGAAGCACTCAGCCGGAAAAGAAAGTGCAGGAGGAAGTTAAGAAGTGAAAGTTTTTGACTGACCGGGACAAAAAGCAACAACTAAGGTATCCTGGAATTTCAATTTTACAAAAGATAATACCGCTCTCAAAGAAGAGTCGGAAGCAGTGAATGAAAGTGAAAAGGGAAAGGTTTTTTTTCTTCACTCTCCTTCCTCACACTGACAACAAGAAGAGCTGAATAAAGAAATCGGAAAATTCCGTTTTGGCACTAAGAGGTAATTAAACTGGAAATATAATTAAATGCCAAAGGGACAATAAAGATTTCTGAATACTAAAAAATTCTTTTTTTTTTTTTTTGCTATAAGTGGGAAGGGAAAGGAAAAAAATAAGAGCAGGACTTGGAAGGAGGAGACTGCTTGGAATTCAAAAGAATTTAAAGTTAAATCTTAACAAGACTTCTAAAAGATACATTTTAACTGGAACTTTGCAACTAAATAGTAGCCCAAAAAGAGAAAGTGAAAAAAGAAGAAAGTGTCAAAAGAAACAGCTTGTGTGTATTTGGATTGTTTGGTGACTTTGGGATTTTTGGAAATTATATTTGAATGACTAAAAACAATTGAGTGGTTGTTTAAAAACAACAACTCTACAATGGCATCACTTCTGGATGAACTGAAAATCGAGTTTAAAATATAAAAAAGAGGAACAAGAAGGGAAGGGCTCCTTTGGCTCCATTTTTCAATTCTTAGAAATGGCGATTGGTGTCTATAAGAAACAACAAGAAAAGACTGCGCAACAAGAAGATTGGGACAAAGAAGAAGCCATTTTTAATGAACAAGTAACTCTATCTGGGGAAGAAAAGTGGGGAAAGAGAATGGAGAATTTAAGATTAAAAAAAACAGCCAAAAAAGGGAAAAATAATGTGAAAAGTGGATATAATGTTGGAAAGCAACAGAAAAGGGGAATACAGAAGAGGGAAATGGAGGTGGAGAGACAGGGGGGTAAAAAGGGGAGAGAGAAGAAGAAAAGGAAGAAGGAAGGGAAGAGAAGTTACAAAGGTCTGGAGCAAGATGTAAAGAAAGAGGACTTATTCAGAGATAATGGATGAAAATTTAACTGAAAAAGGGATTCTCTTAAGGTACATAAGATTGTATTGTTATATTTGTAATAGAAATAATGTTAGAAAATTGGAAACAACATATGATTAAAAAGTGGAATAAAATAGTGTAATTTAGTGAAACTTTTGTGAATAAAATAAATGAAATGAAATAAATGAAAGAATTGAACTACGAAGGAATGGGAACATTTTAACTACTCAATGTTTTATAAAATATAAGTGAAGTGGGGGGGAAGTAATTCTGGAAAGTTTATAAGTGTTCCCATAGAAGTATGATACTTATTTGAAAAGTAATGTGTAAAATGTTTAAGATTTAAATGAATATTAATATTAATGATAGAATTGAATTGGTATGGATTGTTGTTTTAATTATGTTATATATTTATAATTTTTTCTTTTTTAAAAAATACATTGTGTAGTTTTAGAATGTTACCAAGCAGAATCTGAACGGAAGTTATGTATTATATTAAGTGTTATAATTTTAGGGGAAAGATATAAAGGCGTCATACTCCAATCAGTGATCACAGGAGAAATTTTGTTTAATGAGAAAAGATAATAGACAGCTGAAACAGGACAAAGAATATAAGTATAATGATCTGAATTGAGATGGAATAAATAAAATAAAAATAAGAAAGTTGAAAGAGGGGAGAAGTTTTATGGAAAATGTAGAATGGTAATAAGATATGGAATGGAATATAAAAATGAGCATGAACTTGAATTTGTGTCTGCACGAAGAGATGTAACCCGGGATCAGGCTGCTTTCAAAAAAGATGTTTTATGTTTTCATATTTTGTGTTTTGTTGGTTTATGTTTGTTTTTAAAAATCAATAAAATTTTCAAAAAAAAAAAAAAGATTTGAACCTCATCTCAAATTTGCATATTGAACTTTAAAATGCTAGGTCTCTACTAAGATGTTTACTTCTCCAAAGGAGGAAAAAGTTTTTCAGTTGCTAAATTGTAATTTAACACATTCATTCTTCGGGTCTACAAATTACTTCACCATGTTTGGATATCCAAAATAGTTTATAGCGCACATAAAAACAATAAAAAAAAATAATAAAATGTGCAATATATACATTGTTACTGATTGTGATATAATAATCAGTCCCTTTAACTATTAAAATACTTTATAACGATATCAACCATCCAATATTAAAAATTGCATTAATAAAGCAACTAAAGAATACAGATGCAAAGTTTAGACCTTTTGAATACAAAAAGGATGGGAGAAA